AAAACATCAAGGGATTAATGGAAGGTATAAGAATATATTATCAAAAATACATATAAGAAAAAATATCAAAATCCATTAAATGTGCCAATGTGAGATTTGCATATTAAATTGAATATACGAAAGGCAAAATATATCTTTCATAATTAAGAGCATATATTACTTAATTCAGAAACTAATTAATTTGCATTATTCTCTTCCCTTGTTTCAGGTTCTTTTTCACACAGTTTTATGCAAAAATAAAAATAAAAATAATAATTGTGCACTAATGGTGTGAAATGAATGTTTACTTAAATCAGGTCATTTAAAAGATAATTACAGGTAAATATTCTAATTAATCAAAATCTTGGTTAGTCATATCGAATAGATGTTAAAGTAACATGCAATAAGATGTTAAATTATACTGATATTATGAAAAAATTACATTATATCAATATTTATAACTTAAATTCATAGCAAGATTTAATATGTAAATAATAGTGTGTAAATGTGACCATCCAACCCTTCATTTTGATTTTTTGTGTTTTAATTCATGATTAAAATCTGACTTACCGCGATAGCAACGTCTATGACATTCCACGATCACGATAGTCACCTAGGTGACTCGCCTAGTATAATATTTATACTCAAAGTTAATTTTGTTTGGAATAAAAATGAAGGTACCTCCAAATATTGATAATTCTGTAAATCCTAATAAGCTACATTAATATAGCACCTACATAATAAAGATTTTTTTAGATCTAGTTACTATTTTTTAGATGATTGCATGCATAACATATATATAATTTGATTTGACTAAACAAGGGTCCACTTGATGCGAAATAAATGTTTAGCCAAAGTCAAGCATATAACAAAATAAATCAATATAATCAAATCTCTTTGGATTAATATTTAATTCAAAATATTAGACAGTAATATACATATACATAATACACGTACACCGCACGTAATACACATGCAACACACATAATATACGTGCGGCACACATAATACACGCACAACGCACATAATGCACGCACGGCACACGTGTTGCAATCATTTAGTGTGACTGTAATACAAGGAAGAAAGCTCATTGTCCCCCAAAAAGGGGTCAACAGAGCTATCAATTGTCTCATTTAGTAACATCTTCGTATCTCCTATTGAGATTAATCTCTTAATCTCCATCGAAGATTTTATTAAATGGAACAATTGAAAGCTCTATTGAAATAAGCTTTCTTCCTTATATTCCCTTGTTTTTCCTAAACGTTTACAGTAAAAAAAAGGTAATTTAAATTAAGTTTTTCCCCAGTATTGTAGATAACTTAAGCTAATACATTTTTCCCTCTCTTAGAATGAAAACAACATTAGGAGAATTTCTTCAACAAAATGAGATGTGATATGTTCACTTCATGTACTAGTTTCAATCTGTTCATCTTGTACGAAAAATGCACGTGCGGCTCACGAAGGGTGCACGTATTATGCACACACAAGTTTTTTCTATAAAGATTTTGTAAGAAAACCATGCTCTTTGTACTCTTTGACTAATTTTTGCCAATACTTTTATGCCTAAATGTAGCTAATTAGGATTTACTCGATTATAGTAGTAACTAACTAGATATATGAGAGGAGTAGACATTTTTCTCAACAATTTGCATAAGTCCAATTTGCTCTACCAAGTTGTATTTATCAACCCGAATCCCAAACATACTGATCTCTTTGGTGTTGGGTGGTTTTGCCCATATTGATCCTGGTCCGTTCATAACTGAATGTCATATCGTGTACCTAAGTTAAATTTTTGATATATGTATATTAAAGTTTTATTCTTGAATAGCGTTGAGGATTTTTATGTCCTCAATTATTGATGGCAGTTAAGGAAATTTCAAATTTTATATGCTTCCTTGCATGTTTAGATATTCTTTTTAACTGTTTCAAATTTAGAAATTGTTTTACTTTTGTCGTACCAACAATTTTCATCAAAATTGACTCCCATATATTTTGCGCAACAACAACATAAAAAAACCAATAGCTAATTAGGATTATAGTAGTAACTAACTAGATCTAAAAGCATGTGTATTACTATTAAACGTAGGTAATTAGGATGTTTAACATTTGGAGGCAAGCTAAGTGAGAAAAGAAGAATAAATTTAAGAATCAATCAATATATATATATATATATATATATGTAGCACTAGCTAGAATTCAATCCAACAAGAAACAATTATGGCTTCCTCCTCTTCTTCTCTTTTTTTGATTGTTTTGTTATTCTGTATGGGACAAACAAAGATGAGTGGTAATGAGAGTTGTGTGGGGTTAATCAACTTTCATACTGATATACACTGGTATACAGCTCCTGTATACACCGATATAAAAGAACTACAAGTTAATAAGGTCACACAAGAAATAATGCAGAAAAATGGCAGATATACACTGGTATACAGCTCCTGTATACATCGATATACACTGATATACACTGTATACAGCTCCTGTATACACCGATATACACTGATATACATGGTCAAAACGCAGCATTCACAGTTCTAGGGATAAATATGGGGTCGAAAACTGAAAATACAGGTCGTGGAAGCTAAGAAGAAGTCTGTATACATTCGATATACAGCCCGTATACATCAGTATACAACTATGTATACACAGCTTGCTTTGACACAAAACTGGGCCAGGGCCCAAATCTACTTGGTTGTTTTGATTCCAGCAGGCCCAATCAGATTTTAAAAAAAAATGTGGGTTGAAACCCATGAATTTAGTTTAGGACAGGTTGAAAGAAGTTGGGCCTGTCAGCCCAGCAATTTAAAATTTGGGAAAAGGCCCAAGTTTATAATCTCCTTTTCTCTTTTATTGTATTTGATTATTTCTTGTTTAATTAACCTGAAATTATTAATTAACTTAATTGAATTTTCCAAACGATGAGTTATTTTCTTTGTGTCGGCTTACTTTTAATGTGTTTCATTTTAATTTTTCTGTATTCATCTATTTTATTAATCAAATATATTGGTCAAATTTTATATTTTAATTCTTTTGTTCTTAAAAAAATATGTTTTTAATGCCTCTTCATTTAATCATTTTATTCACTTTAAAATTGTTTTAAGTTAAAGTATTTTTTTTTCTCAAAAAACTTTAAAAATGTTAGTCAAAACCTTTTCAATTAATTTAAAAAAGGGAAAAAAGGATAAATATCGTAAATGATATGTGTATATTGTTCATTATACTTTCAGTACATCAATGACCTTATCGTTCAAATTTTAGAGCGTATATACCTTTTATACTAACGATGATATACGTATCCTAATCCTATGTACTGACCCAAAATTTATTAAATTTTTCTACCAAAAACTAAAACCCCCCACCCAAATTGCTCAACTGGATAGCGGAGAATCCACATGGCTTCTCTTTCACACACACCGTATTAGACTACCATTGTAGAAATGTTGAACTAGCGAAGAAAATTAAAGCTCAACTAGTACTACTGTTACTACTAACCAGAGATTTAAGTAGCTAACCATTCTAATTATGATTTTTCCCTTTGTTTTACGATCCATTATTTATAAGAGTTGTTAATGTAGGCGAAACAAGTATAAAGAGTTTGGGGGTTCTAAATTTTCTTTAAAATCGTCAATCAATTTTGTTAGGAGTTCACAAATTAATATACATATATATTTAAATAATTTTTTAGTACAAATACAAGATCTACGAAAAAGCTACTGGATTCGTCCGAATCCATGAACCCCACCTAGCTCCGCCTCTGTGTATATCTATCTACCAGTCAACCTCGTAGCCTTTTCTTGCCCAATTAACTTTGGAATTAGAGCTTTTTGGGGCATTGTAGTATTTGAAAGAAATTGTAACACCTCGGAAGTGTAAAAAATCAATAAATATAACATAAAATGGATCGGGGAATTTAATTAAGTTAATACAAAAGTCAGAATGAACACAAATAAACGACAAGTAATCACAATCGAATAAAAAAGAAGGGCTGCCCAAATTAATTGAGCCCATAAAAATTCACTGCTGCTGCACTTCTGCTGTTTTTGCTAATTATTTGGCCTTTGGCCCATATCTTTCTTTTTTGCATACCCACCAATATATACACTGAATGTATATCAGGCCTGGGTTAGTTTTGGGAAAATCAATTAGTAGTTAGTATATTACACCACAATTGGGCCTCAAGGAGAAGAAGTAAGCAACGACCCAAAGGTAAACATTTTGCTTGATTGCTTTCAACCGTCTTTTTTTCAAAAGTGAAAAATATTTAGAATCTATGATCAAACATCGTCTACTTAAACTTTTCATTTTACTTTCTAGTCATATAAGTTTATGGCACATTTAAGACCATAAATTCCAAAAAAATCTTTTTTTCCCCTTAAAATTTATGCATAATCAAACTATGTAAGATAAATTGGGATGAAAGGGGTACGGCTTAATCAAACTGTTGTTGTAGAGGAGAAACAAAATGTGTTAATGGTAGATATGTTCTTTTCCTCGGATTTTAAAGTTGGAGAAGATTGTTACAAGAATGAGTTTTATGGAATTATCAAAAGGAACTTTAAATTTCACAAGTATATATAAATAAATAAATCCTTCCGTTTTAAGTAAAAAAAAAAAAACAAGTCTTCACAGACGACGACGGTAGATATTAGTTAAACTCTATTTTCGTAGCCATAGACCAGTAGTGTCCCACGAATCCCCATGTGTTGGTGTATTTCAGTGTCAATGAAAAATAATGTGCAAGTGAGAATGTGAGAATTATCAGACGCCATCAATGTGAGGGTTTGTTGATGCACGTGAGACACATAATAGTTATTAAATGATTGAAGGTCTCACACATATACGACGGAGGCTTAAACTTGTTCGTATTTTCATGGATTCAGAAAAGGACCGCACCAAAAGTTGTGTGGAGTCAAACGTGTTGTGGAAAATGTGTTGGAAATGTCTTACCATGCAATTGACCCAAAGTAAACTCTTGTCCATTTTTGCAAAAAATCAATAGTATATTACACCACAATTGCCAAAGCAAATAACTAAAAAATATTCCATTTCCACAATGTGCAAATACAACCTTCTTTACTTAGTACTACCATTTTTTGTAGTACTTTGCAGTTTTTCTCTAAGATGCAACGCGGTTCAGAGTGACATAGATTGCTTGATATCGATAAAAGATTCATTCGAAGATCCTTTAAATTTCTTGAATACTACGTGGAAGTTCGATAATCAGACAGAAGGTTTCATATGCAAATTTGCAGGAATACAATGCTGGCATCCTGATGAGACCAGAGTTTTATCCATTAGTCTTCCAGACATGGGACTAAAAGGTGAGTTTCCACGAGGCATAGAAAATTGCACTTCTATAACTTCTCTAGATCTTTCAAGCAACGAGCTATATGGTACCATCCCTTCGGATATATCAAAATTAATCAGATTTACTATAACCCTTGATCTCTCAAGCAACCAATTTTCAGGCGCGATCCCAAGTGACATTGCAAATTGCTCTTTTCTTAATTCCCTCAGATTAGACAACAATAAACTACAAGGTCCAATCCCACCAGAAATTGCCCTTTTAGGTCGACTCAAGAACTTTAATGTTGCCAACAACATGTTGGTAGGGCCAGTGCCAAGGTTTATTAATTCAACTTTTCCAGCTGAAAGCTATGCAAATAATCCAGGACTTTGTGGTCCTCCTCTGGAATTATGTGGTACAAAACACGTCGGGTTCATGTTAAGTACTGTATTGAACCGTCGTGTACAGTTTGCGTGTGGTTTTGTGACTGGTTGGTCACTTTTTACTGTACTTGGTATATATCTTTTTTTCTTTGGTTTACCTGGCGTAAAGAAGATGCTTCTATTCATCAACAAGAGAACAAAGGTAATGGTGATTGATGGAAATGAATCGCCTCGAGGAGAAGAAGTAAACAACGATCCAAAGGTAAACATTACGCTTGCTTTCAACCGTCTTTTTTCCCAATAAAGTGAAAAATATTACGGGTAAATGCCTCCTTAAACTTATCATTTTACTCTCAGTCGCAAGCTTTTATAGGCATACAAGTGTTATGGGACGTTTAAGACTACAAGTTTAAAAATTGTCTTCTTTTGTCTTAAAATTTGTGTCCAGTCAAACTATATATGTCAGATAAATTGAGACAAAAAGAGTACTACTTAATCAAACTATTGCTAAATATGGTAGCTATGTTCTCTTCCTCAGATTTTAAAGATGGAGAAGATTGTTACAAGAATGAGTTTTATGGAACTATCAAAAGCGACTTTGAATTCAGCCAAGACAATGAAATCGGGAACGGAATGCTAGGGAAAGTGTACAAAGCACTGGTCCCAAATGGATGGACAGTTGCCATAAAGAGATTCCATGTTTCAGAGGATTTGGAGGAAGAGTTGTTTCCGAGATCACAACTCTGGGTAGTCTGAGGCATCCAAATTTGGTGCCTTTAATCGGCTTTTGTTCTGAGAGGGACGAGCGAATTCTGGTTTACAAATACATGCCTAATGGAAACTTACATGAGTGGTTGCATTCAACCGACGACAAGGCAAGACTCTTGGACTTTCCTCTAAGGGTTAAAATTGTTTTAGGTGTCGCGAAAGCCCTGACTTGGCTTCATGATGGTGGAAATTTCCATGTTGTGCATGGTAACATAAGCACACAATGTATCTTGCTCGATGAAAATTTCGATCCTAAGTTATCCAATTTTTGGGAGGCAACACTTGCAAAAACAAATGACATAGATTCAAACTTGAGTCTATTTCCAATAGTCGAGTGTTTAGACTTTACAACATATAAAAAAGATGTTTATCGATTTGGGGTTGTGCTTCTCGAGCTTTTAACGAGGAAAGAATCTTACATATTGAGCTGCTCGAGTCTAAATTTGTCGAGCAGCTCTTTTGCCAGTCCTCTTGATGTTGATAAAGTACTGTTAGGGCAAGGATTTGATAATATGGTAATGCAACTACTTGAACTTGCAAGTGATTGCATGAAATTTATTCCGGATCAAAGGCCAACGATGCAACAAGTGTATCAGACTGTTGCTGCGATTGCTCGAGTCCATGACCAAACAGGGGGTTCTGAAATACAATTGCACTTGGACTACAAGCAGGGGCGGAGCCACCAAAGGGACGTGTAGCTTTGGCTCAAACCAATGTATTTGTGATGAAGAACCATTTCATATGTATAAATAATTTATCAGCTTGGAACTTGTTTTGACCCTTTTCCCTATTTATTATGTTAATAAATAAATAAATCATGCACATTTAGATATTAAAAGACAAACAATGTTAATCATTTAATATTCAAATCTAATCACAATAAATTAATCATTGAGATGCACATTCAGATTCGGGCATAATCGAAACTAATAGCAAAGCTCTCTAATAGAAGATGGTGTGGAAGACTTGTTTCTTCAGGTAACAGTTTTCGCGTAGGGTTCGGGGAACGACCCAAGTTTACTAATATTACTAATTAATTAGATTATGATTTAGTGTAGGGGTAAAATAGTAATCTAACTTTTGCCTAAAATTCTTCCCACTTATAGTATAACTGGTTTCTGGATACGTGTGTTGCACGTGTATCCAAGTTAGGATTGATTCAAAATTATAGTTTCCGACACTTCCAATATTGAGCATAAATCTATATGTAAAAAATCACTAAATTGCAACAAATAGTCAACATGAACCATGAGTCATTTAGTACAAAAGTGACCACATAAAATATGATTTTAAGACATTAATAATAGAAACAACAGTGAGAAAAACATATTAAATAAAATAGTGCCAGACTTAAGTTTTCACTAAAAGGGATTTAAAATATGAAGAACTAAACACACGAAGGTTCAACCTCTACTATATATACATAAAAAACTATTTAAACCATATGTATAAATATTGTAATTTTCAGTTAAAGAGGGTTTGAAAGAACCCTTTTAGCCTTACCTGACTCTCCCGATAAAACAGATGGGTCAAGAATGATCCTTTCAACTTCATCTCATATCAATTTTCGATAAGATTCTGTAAAAGAATTGCACAGACTGGTGATAGATTTATAGTCCATCTACAAAGAGAAATATAATGACATAAAGTATGCAAATTTTTAATCGGGACAATACTTTTAAGTATGTGGAAGAAATAGAAATAGTTGATTAAAAGAGAAGCTCAAGAACATCAAAAATATGATTTACCTGTGTCGTTCGTGTGAGAGGAGAACGTCGATGACTATACTCAACCTATTAGCCACTTCATCAAATTCTTTAATTTATAATGAATAATATTCACAACTATCAAAGTATATTTTTGTACATTTATCTTGTGAGAAGATATTAATTCCTCCACATCATCAATTAGCAACCAAGACTATTGGTGTCTCCAATAGAAGATAAATTGTAACTAGATACATGTAATTGAAACTGCTTATAATTAATTTGTTGATGTTTAGAGTTCCAAAAGAAATTCAACGTAACAAATGTAAAGAACACTCCTAATAAATACTACTATATAATTATCCTTTAAACACATATTATAATTTAGTGATTCTTGGATTTACAAGAGTGGCTTCTCACATTTCTTTAAATATTTATTTATTGTGATTATTGAATAAGTTATTTTTCCACTTTTAGTATTTAGTGTAATATAATATAATGACTGTTCAAATACATTTTATACTGCTACATATGAATCTGATCTATAATTATACATGACAGGTAACTTTTCAAATTACTTATTCATTTTTTCAAATTAATTAAGGAAATCAATGCATTGATGTTGAAAAATTACATTACACCTGCATTTGAATCAAGCCCATATTATTGAACCATACAAAGTAAACCTTCATATTCTTAATGCATTGTTTTTTAAAAGAATGAATTATATTAATTTAATAGCTTCTCATTTTTAGTATAATATAATATGATTAGCTACTTAATATTTAATTAATTAAATATTTTATAATAATATGATTGAATGTAGGGGTAGAATGATAATCCAACTTTGCACTTTGGAGTTTTCCACTTTTAGTAATATAAAATAAAATAAAATAATAATAATAAAATATATGAATGATATGATTGATAATGATGATATGATATGATGATGATATATACATTATTTTATCTATCATAACTTTTCAAATTTTTCCGTTATGAGAATTATGATTATGATTAAAAACAATATCAATATACTCATTTATAAGAAAATAATAATTTAATTATTAAAGGGCTTAAGCACTCAAATTCTACCATTATGTAATTAAAATATCTATATATATATATATATATATATATATATATGAAAATATGATATGATAGGATATATAAGTAGTATTTATCATATATCTTATAATAATATAGTATGATATGATATTGTCAAGGACACTTGAGTTCTCCTAAATCCGCACAAAAGAAGAAAAGATTTCAGATATTTTTATTGCCACAGACCAATAGTATCCTCACAAATGACAAATCCCAATGTGTTGATGTATTTCCGTGTCAATGAAAAACAATGTGCAAGTGAGAATGTATGTAAATGGAAAATTGTGAGCCGCCGTCAATGTGAGGATGGACCCAAAAAAATTGTTGATGCATGTGAGACACATAATAATAATAGTTGTTAAATGATTAAAGGTCAAACACGACTATTAACTTGAGTTGTGGTGCACTGGTGGTCTGAGTGCTTCATCTTTAATCAAAGGTCTCGCCATCTTCAAATGGATCCTGTAGTGCGTAATCCGAATATAGTCAGAGCTTTAATGTGGGCTACGACCACCGGACGAGAAACCAAAAAAGAAAAGGTCAAACACTTAAAACTGTTAGGATCGAAAATAATTAGGTGTAATGCGGAAGCTAGCAAAGAAACCTTGAAAGACCATGAGTAAGAAGACAAACAAGAAATATACCAAAAGACACAAAAATTTAACGTGATTTGATCAGTTGACCTATATCCACAAAGCAAATGAGCAATCCACTACAAATATGAGAGTACAAAATATAGAGAGAAATAACCTCAACCAATTCACTCGCAATACAAGGAGGTTCACAAATTCTCCCCCATAACCGAAACTCTCAAAACCCTAGGACTACATTGTGTATGCTGATTAAGTTAGAAGGAACAAGACTATATTTATAGAATCCGAAAACCTTTCCTACATGAAAAAGACTACTCAAAATATTAAAACTTTTTCCTAAAGAAAAACCTATTTATGGTAAGAAATCAGGGAAAATAAACCTCAACAAAATCTTGATCGGAGATCTCATTTAGACACTTAAATTTTGCCTTGTTCTAATCTCAGTTTTTTCATGGATTTAGAAAAGGACGATACCTAGACAACATATCCTACCGACTTAGCCCAAGTTGTGGAGTCAAAGATATTGAGAAAAATGTGTTGGAATTAATCTACCTTATATGGAATTGACCCAAGTCAACTGGTGTCCATTTTTGCAAAAAATAATTAGTACTATATTACACCACAAATAACTCAATAAATTTCATGTTCCTTCTAATCAAGTCAATGGATACTCTAAAACAAAAAAAATCCATTTCCATAATGTGCAACTGCAACATTATTCTTTACTTAGTACTACCATTTTTCCTACTACTTTCCAGCTTTTCTCTAGATTGTTTGATGTCGATAAAAGATTCGTTGGAAGACCCTTTTAATTTCTTGAATACTACGTGGAAGTTCGATAAACAGACAGAAGGTTTCATATGCAGATTTGCAGGAATACAATGCTGGCATGATGATGAGAGCAGAGTTTTATCCATTAGTCTTTCAGACATGAGACTAAAAGGTGAGTTTCCGCGAGGCATAAAAAATTGCACTTCTATAACTTCTCTAGATCTTTCAAGCAACGAGATATATGGAACCATCCCTTCGGATATATCAAAATTAATTGAATTTATTATAATGGTTGATCTCTCAAGCAACCTATTGTCAGGCGCGATCCCAAGTAACATTGCAAATTGCTCTTTTCTTAATTCCGTCAGATTAGACAGCAATAAACTAGACGGTCCGATCCCAGCTGAAATTGGCTCGTTAAATCGACTCAAGAACTTTAATGTTGCCAACAACATGTTGACAGGGCCAGTGCGAAGGTTTATCAATGCCACTTTTCCACCTGAAAGTTATGCAAATAATGCAGGACTTTGTGGTAGTCCTCTGAAAGCATGTGTTACAAAACGCATCGGGTTCCATCATATTCTGTTAAGTACTGTATTGAACCGTCGTGTACAGTTTGCTTGTGGTTTTGTGACTGGTTGGTCACTTTTTACTGTACTTGGTATATATCTTTTTTTCTTAGGTTTACCTGGTGTAAAGAAGATGCTTCTATTCATCAACAAGAGAACAAAGGTAATGGTGATTGATGGAAATGAATCGCCTCAACGAGAAGAAGTAAACAACGATCCAAAGGTAAACATTACGCTTTGAAAAATATTTAGAATCTATGGCCAAACGCCTCCTTAAAGTTATCATTTTACTCTTAGTCACAAGTTTTTATAGGCATACAAGTGTTATGGGATGTTTAAGACTACAAGTTTAAAAAAAATTCTTCTTTTGTCTTAAAATTTTTGTCCAATCAAACTATGTCAGATATATTGAGACGAAAGGGGTACTACTTAATCAAACTATTGCTAAATATGGTAGCTATGTTCTCTTCCTCAGATTTTAAAGATGGAGAAGATTGTTACAAGAATGAGTTTTCTGGAACTATCAAAAGTGACTTTGAATTTCAGCCAAGACAATGAAATCGGGAACGGAATGCTAGGGAAAGTGTACAAAGCACTGGTCCCAAATGGATGGACAGTTGCCATAAAGAGGTTCCATGTATCAGAGGATTTGGAGGAAGAGTTTGTTTCCGAGATCACAACTCTAGGTAGTCTGAGGCATCCGAATTTGGTGCCTTTAATCGGCTTTTGTTCTGAGAGGGACGAGCGAATTCTGGTTTACAAATACATGCCTAATGGAAACTTACATGAGTGGTTGCATTCAACCGACGACAAGGCAAGACTCTTGGACTTTAATCTAAGGGTTAAAATTGTTTTAGGTGTCGCAAAAGCCCTGACTTGGCTTCATGATGGTGGAAATTTCCATGTTGTGCATAGTAACATAAGCACACAATGTATCTTGCTCAATGAAAATTTTGATCCTAAGTTATCCAATTTTTGGGAGGCAACACTTGCAAAAACAAATGACATAGATTCAAACTTGAGTCTATTTCCAATAGTCGAGTGTTTAGACTTTACAACATATAAAAAAGATGTTTATCGATTTGGGGTTGTGCTTCTCGAGCTTTTAACGAGGAAAAAATCTTACATATTGAGTTGCTCGAGTCTAAATTTGTCGAGCAGCTCTTTTGCCAGTCCTCTTGATGTGGATAAACTACTGTTAGGCCAAGGATTTGATAATATGGTAATGCAACTACTTGAACTTGCAAGTGATTGCATGAAATTTATTCCGGATCAAAGGCCAACGATGCAACAAGTGTATCAGACTGTTGCTGCGATTGCTCGAGTCCATGACCAAACAGAGGACTCTGAAATACAATTGCACGTGGACTAGAAGCAGGGGCGGAGCCACCAAAGGGACGTGTAGCTTTGGCTCAAACCA